TGGCAGTGGCAGTGGCCGTAGGAAGAAGGTCCAGTGGACCCCGTTTCCCCCGTCAAAGCTTCTCGGTCTGCCGATTGTTTCCTTGCTCCACACGCAAGTCCCGGATCACAGTGCAGTCGATCCCGCTTGGATCGGTACTCAAGAGCTCGCAAAACCTTGCTGCGCAGCTGCAGTACGTTAACAAGCACTATGGCGGGTTCGTTGTAGCTCAGCTACTCAACAGCTTTGAGCTACGACCTACGTTCGAGTGTCCACAGCTGCAGTCGGGTTGACGTGAAGCTGTACAAAGGCAAGAGCAAACGACGTGCACTTGCTACGTCACTGCATCACATGCTACAATGATGCTTGCTGCAAAATGCAACCTACACAACGCACGAAGCGGGGACATGTCTCTATCTCACAAGCACAGGCGCTTCCAGCAGCCCCGGATTTTAAAGAGACATGGACCCCCGATTCCGTGCAAACGGCGAAATCTGGACAGGCTAACCTACGCTCATAATGCGCGCTCAGCTCAGCTCAAGGATGGGCGGTCTTGGCCTTTGGGCGGCCGTTTCTCTCGAAGCCTACGCCTCGGCTACGCCTCGGCTCAAAGTTCAACTTTGCGGGGACTGATCGCTCCCACAAATCAGTGAACCAAGCCTTGTAGGTCTCCACACGAGAGTCTCCTCGGCTTCCGCTGTTTCGTAGCGCATGACCATTTCGAAATTACACCTGCTTGCTCGGGTATTATTGTGAGACCCGGTGTAGATGCTCGTGGTTTGCCCACGGTCCACTAAGAGCGTCTTTGCGTGTAACACTCCAGACCAGCCGGTCTGCCATTGAGCGACAACGGTTTCCCCGATATAACGTGGACTTCTACACCAGATTCCCTCAAGCTCTGCAGGCGTGGCAACGAGTCGTTACAAGATCGACTGTTCTTTTCACCACCGAGCAAAGGAAGGGTTTTTGGCTCCAGCCTCGGCCGCGGCACACAGCGCCGGTATCACCTGGTCCCCGGCGGCAACACCGCCCTGGGAATCCGTTCCCGGCGTGATGTCACACACCATGTACTCGAGCCACTCGCTGTCGGGAAGGAGGGTTACGGAAGATATGACAGGATTGAAACCGCCGGCACTTTGTTTTGCGCTGCCTGGCGCAATGCATGTTGCGCCCGCGCTTGGGACTGCAAGCCCGCAGCGCGCGTCTCCGACCTCTCGATCTAGGTCCTTCCGCAACTGCGCATTCTCCTTCCTCAACAACTCTAGTTCGAAAAGTGTACCGCCGGACACAGCTGTGGCTGGGGATAACGTGCCTGAGGTAAGTGAAGGGCTCGCGCCGGCGGGCGGGGGAGCATGGCGATCGCTCCTGGGCGGCAAGGAAGGCGCAAGGCGACGTGGGGTCGAAGGGGCCGCAGCAGCAATCGTCACAGCTAGCACACGACTTCTTAAGGGTGCCTTTTCGGCATGGAAAAGAACATTTCGCCCTTATCACCAGAAGTCTCGTGGGAGAACCCGCGGCCAGCAGCTACCCGATGTACAATAGCACGAGCTGCGCTGTTTAACCCAATCGCCTTTCCTGCTTGACCACTGCCCTCGACACTGTCCAACACAGAATCAATCTTCCTCGTGATCTCCTGCTTTTCGGAGTTGGTCAAATCAGCCAACCTCAACCCTATGAGACGTGCCGTGCCGTGGCCAGCTCCGCCTTTCGGACGTGCCTTGACCATTCTAGCGAAAAGCCCATTGAAACGTGCCGTTGCCAGCTCCGTCCTTTGGACCCGCCTAGCCAAGGACTAAACAAGCTCCAAGGACACAGTCCTTCACGGCCTTTCCTGGCTGAACGTCTTACGGCCCTCCGCTGGTTGTCGTGAGTTACCTAGCGTGGGACGCTACTAGACGGGAACTCAGGGTGTCGGCCCACCCGGGTACGGCCCACCGGCACCAGTGCGTGAGTATCGGACGCGATGACTCACATTTAGTTGAGGGTGACGGAGACAGTCAAAAGCGAGTGAGTCTGAGCTGGGCCTTAGGCAGTTTCAGGTATCATTTGAAGCCGATTTGCGAGCCTGATGTTTCTACAGCTTTGTACAGCCAGCTCAGGCAGGCCTCATTTTTAACTCTATTCCTTGTAGGCATTTCCTTTCCCTTCTCTGAGGCATCGGCAAGTCTGATTCCAAGGATGCGCTTGCCTTGTTTTCTTTTCTTGTTATGGTACGTTCGTGGCAGAGGTAGCAACCTGGGCCTAGGAGCATTAGGTTCGTCCATTGCTCTTCAAAGGGGTGAGGTAGGTAGCTGCGTTTATCGCAGCGCTGCTCACAACTGTCTTGTGGCAGCGGGGTATCGCTCATCAGAAAGTCTGTGCCCAGCCGTGTCGTGGAGCCGTACCATAGCGCAGACACTGCTAGAGGGCGAACCTGCTCCTCGCCTCAAGAGCGAGTCCCGGCTCTCGCACCCCGCTGCAAGACGAGGTGTTGGTGACATGTTGAGGCCAGCATCACCCTCAAGCAGCCCTGCACATGTAGCTGGTCGTACTTCAGAACTGTGGTGCAGCGCCCCAACCCGCACCTTGTAGACAAGACCGGCCCGGCGCCCCGTCTGGGGCCACAAGGGCACCCCATGTGCATCGAAAGACATTAGGGTGCTCAGCGGGGCCAGCATTGGGAGGATTACGTCGTGCTGAAGGCCGTTGGATAGCTTTGCGTTTGGCAGCTGTGTTGCAAGTCCGTACAACCTTATCGGAAACTTCTCATCCTCACCAACGTTTGACGTTTTCCCCGGAGCAAGCAGCATGTCAGCTGCGCTGCAATCCCTTTTCAACAGTATCCAAAGCAATACGTGAATGGGCTGTAGCTCTAACTGGGGGGGGGGGGGAGGGGGCGTGTCGTGGCCAGTCACGTACTTGTCTGCGAAACGGCTTTTGAGCATGAGTGTCTCGGAGAAGAAGCTGCCACTTCGCATAAACTGTACAGAAAGAGATTGCAGTGATCTCTGAGTGCATCATCCCGGGGAAGCTGCTCGAAGCACAAAAACAGGCCTCAGCACTGATACTTCTTGCATAGCAACCAGGCTCTGAAGTCGACCAATGTTGCGCTGCTCCAAGGATGTCTGTGTGCTGCAGAACCTCTTGTAAATGGAAAAGTGTAGGCAGGAGAAATGTACTGAGGCGCATTCGGCTCGCCATGCGCTTGTTTTTCCCCCTCCAGAAACATAGATGATGAAGTCACTAAAGAGGGTACTCCTTCCACCTCGCGGAGCAGTGGAAACCCTACCGCTTACCTCTGCAAACTCGTTGTTGTCGGTGTGCGTGAGGCCCGGGAATTGGGACCCGGCGGTTCACAGCAGAGTCGACTCGTAGCTCCAATGGCAAAATGGCTCAAGCAAAGGCAGAATTCTTAAGCTTGCTGTGAACCGTGCGGCTGCTGCTGCTACTGCTGCTACTACTACTACTACTACTACTACTACTACTACTACTACTACTACTACTACTACTACTACTACTACTACTACTACTAATCCCTGCCCCCTAATATTAAACGGGAACCCCCCCCCCCCCCCAATAGGAAACTGCAATGTGTTTTTATAATAAGGGGGGGGTTCTTGTCCAAATGTCATGTTTGGGGTGCCCTAAACCCTTAACCCTAGACCCCCAACCCTAAACCCTCTGAGGGTTTTATTGGTGTTTTGGAGGGTTTATTGAAGGCCTGAACCCCCCCCTAATTCGGAATGGGGTTTAAAAGGCGGGCTCGGTTTCGGGAGGATTTTCCGGAGTGTGTGTGTGTTTTTTTTTTTTTTCTAAATTAGGGGGGCATTTAGTAAAAGGGGGAAGGGATTACTACTACTACTACTACTACTACTACTACTACTACTACTACTACTACTACTACTACTACTACTACTACTACTACTACTACTACTACTACTACTACTCCTACTACTACTACTACTACTACTCCTCCTACTACTCCTACTCCTACTCCTACTCCTACTACTACCACTACTACTACTACTGCTGCTGCTGCTGCTGCTGCTGCTGCTGCTGCTGCTGCTGCTGCTGCTGCTGCTGCTGCTACTGCTGCTACTGCTGCTACTGCTGCTACTGCTACTGCTGCTGCTGCTACTGCTACTCCTACTGCTACTACTACTACTACTACCACTACTACCACTACTACCACTACTACCACTACTACCACTACTACTACTACTACTACTACTACTACTACTACTACTACTACTACTACTACTACTACTACTACTACTACTACTACTACTACTACTGCTACTGCTGGTACTAGTGTTCTTGCTCGTAAAAATAGCAGCCGAATGTCATCGTACTATAGGCAAGGTCACACTAGATAAACGAGTAATCGCAACAACAAGAGAAAGAGACTTCATGGTCACAGTAACCATAATACTGGACAAAACATATAATAAGAAAAGTAAACTAATGGTGAGGGTGGGAGAACTGCCAATAGCATAAGCATGCGTGCTGTTATTTTATTTTTTTTGCTTGTGTTCTTCCCTCATTGGTTTAACTGTTTCCTTCTGGCTTTCTTTGAACCCGTGCTGAGAGGCGTGTGACGGGAAAGTGTCTGCATTGACTTCTTGCTTGCTACCCATGTTTCTAGCTGTCGTTTGACATTTATTTTCTCATTACTGCTTTGCTTTTGCTAATCCTCCCGACTTATCCTTCCAACAACTTTTTCAAAGCCACTCTCCCGACTTCAGCCCTCGGACCTTCTTAAATCAAATTCCAAAAAACAAAGTGGGCCCCGGACGTCCAGCACTTGAAGGCTGGGCAGCAAGCGGGAAGTCGTGGAAAGCCGAAGGCTTTCCACCGGCTGCAAACCACCCACTCGGCTGCCCTCAGCATGCTGCGAGCACAAGGCAGCTGCGAAAAGCCATCGATCAAAGCCTCCTGACCGAGCCGTGCTTTTTGTGACCACCGACAATGCTACTGAGAGCGCGGCCGACAACTTCATTTCATGTAGCTCTTGGCAGCAGCCCTGCCAATCGGAATAGGAGATGAAGCTGGTGATGCCCGTTTCCGAGAGGTCAACCTTCTGGAGGGCCCGGAAACCTCGAAGCAGACTCAGGTTCCCTTCCACTTCCTGCAGCCCGGCGAGGTTGAGGACCTTCAAGTTCCGCATTTCTCGCAAGCTGCTCAGATGCCCGTGGACATTGCTCTGACCCAGAAGCAGCTCTAAAGCCTCGGTCAGGTTGGAAAGGGCTCGCAGGTCCCCGCCAACCTGCGTTTGTTGGAGGTACAGGACCTGAAGCTGGGTGAGTGGGGAGAGGGCTCGCAGGTCCCCGGCGAGCTGCGTCTGCTGGAGGTCCAGGGTCTGGAGCTGGGTGAGTGGGGAGAGGGCTCGCAGGTCGCCGGAGACCTGCGTCTGCTGGAGGCTCAGCGTCAAGAGCTGGGTGAGTGGGGAGAGGGCTTGCAGGCCCCCGGCGACCTGCGTGTGCTGAACGTGAAGGGTCTGGAGCTGGGTGAGTGGGGAAAGGGCTCGCAGGTCCCCACCAACCTGCGTTTGTTGGAGGTACAGGTCCTGGAGCTGGGTGAGTGGGTAGAGGGCTCCCAGGTCGCCGGAGACCTGCGTCTGCTGAAGGTCCAGGGTCTGGAGCTGGGTGAGTGGGGAGAGGGCTCGCAGGTCGCCGGAAACCTGCGTCTGCTGGAGGCCCAGCGCCAAGAGCTGGGTGAGTGGGGAGAGAGCTTGCAGGCCGCCGGCGACCTGCGTGTGCTGAACGTAAAGGGTCTGGAGCTGGGTGAGTGGGGAAAGGGCTCGCAGGTCCCCACCAACCTGCGTTTGTTGGAGGTACAGGTCCTGGAGCTGGGTGAGTGGGTAGAGGGCTCCCAGGTCGCCGGAGACCTGCGTCTGCTGGAGGCTTAGCGTCAAGAGCTGGGTGAGTGGGGAGAGGGTTTGCAGGTCCCCGGAGACACGCGTCTGCTGGAGGTACAGGTGCTGGAGCCGGATGAGTGGGGAGAGGGCTCGCAGGTCCCCGGCGACCTGCGTCTGCTGGAGATTCAGGGCCCGGAGCTGGGTGAGTGGGGCGAGGGCTCGCAGGTCGCCGGCGACCTGCGTCTGCTGGAGGTCCAGGCGCTGGAGTCGGGTGAGTGGGTAGAGGGCTTGCAGGTCGCCAGAGACCTGCGTCTGCTGGAGGTACAAATGTCTGACCCAGGTAAATCGGGAGAGGGCTTGCAGGTCCCCGGCGACCTGCGTCTGCTGGAGGTTCAGGGCGAGGAGATGGGTGACTGGGGCGAGGCCTTGCAGGTCGCCGGCGACCTGCGTCTGCTGGAGGTCCAGGCGGTCGAGTTGGGTGAGTGGGTGGAGGGCTCCCAGGTCGCCGGAGACCTGCGTCTGCTTGAGGTTCAAACGCCAGATCCGGGTAAGTGGGGAAAGGGCTCGCAGGTCCCCGGAGATCCGCGTCTGCTGGAGGTACAGGTGCCGGAGCCGGATGAGTGGGGAGAGGGCTCGCAGGTCGCCGGCGACCTGCGTCTGCTGGAGATTCAGGGCCCGGAGCTGGGTGAGTGGGGAGAGGGCTCGCAGGTCGCCGGCGACCTGCGTGTGCTGAACGTAAAGGGTCTGGAGCTGGGTGAGTGGGGAAAGGGCTCGCAGGTCCCCACCAACCTGCGTTTGTTGGAGGTACAGGTCCTGGAGCTGGGTGAGTGGGTAGAGGGCTCCCAGGTCGCCGGAGACCTGCGTCTGCTGGAGGCTTAGCGTCAAGAGCTGGGTGAGTGGGGAGAGGGTTTGCAGGTCGCCGGAGACCCGCGTCTGCTGGAGGTACAGGTGCTGGAGCCGGATGAGTGGGGAGAGGGCTCGCAGGTCGCCGGCGACCTGCGTCTGCTGGAGATTCAGGGCCCGGAGCTGGGTGAGTGGGGAGAGGGCTCGCAGGTCGCCGGCGACCTGCGTGTGCTGAACGTAAAGGGTCTGGAGCTGGGTGAGTGGGTAGAGGGCTCGCAGGTCGCCGGCGACCTGCGTCTGCTGGAGGTGCAGGCGCTGGAGTTGGGTGAGTGGGTAGAGGGCTCGCAGGTCGCCGGAGACCTGCGTCTGCTGGAGGCTTAGCGTCAAGAGCTGGGTGAGTGGGTAGAGGGCTTGCAGGTTTCCGGAGACCCGCGTCTGCTGGAGGTACAGGTGCTGGAGCCGGATGAGTGGGGAGAGGGCTCGCAGGTCGCCGGCGACCTGCGTCTGCTGGAGATTCAGGGCCCGGAGCTGGGTGAGTGGGGAGAGGGCTCGCAGGTCGCCGGCGACCTGCGTCTGGTCGAGATCCAGGTACCGGAGTGTCGTGAGGTTTTGGAGGGCTGTGATGTTCCCCATGGCTTGCGACTCCGGCAGAGCGATCCGGGTCACGCACCCGTCCTCACATTCGATGCCATCCCAGCTGCAGGGCGGCCCATCGCCTTGGAGGCCGAGGCCCTGCAGCGCGTGGAGGAGGACCGCCTCCTCGCCTCGGCTCGGCATCTGAAAAAACTCCTGCTACGGCCTTTCGACCCCTAAGGTTGGTTCCTGAGAAACCGAATTAGGGTATCGAGAGGTCGAGTTAGGGCATGTGAGGAAACATGTTGGGTGCAGGAGTGTTGCAGGCAACCTCCCCTAAACCCTAGAATCGTGGCCTCGGACACCAACCTCAACCACCCCCAAATCAAGGCCCTGTACCATCTATCAAACATCCTTCTGCTCAGGCACACGCAGCTGCTTTTCGTGCAGAAGTGCCCTGGCCAAGAACACCATCACAAGAAGCCCTCTTTGTTCAACCACTTCTCCGGTTCGGATACTATAACCAAAAAGGCAAGCCTCAAGGTTCACGTTGTCTTACGGGGAAGTGCGCGGGGTGTGTCTACGTATCGGGGCTTGCGCACTATAAAAGCAGCAGTGCCGCAGTGACATCGGGTCACGGGGCCCGGCTTTGATCGGTTTTTTCCCCCGAGATCCCCGAGGACCCACACATCTTAGCCTCCATGCTGTCACGCCTCAATACCTCACAAAGCCATGCGAGGGCCCTCAGGGGGAAAGCCATCGCTGCACTTTCACGGCGGCCTGCTGCAAAACCTTCTTGCATAGGAAAGTCCCAGTCGTTCGGCTCTCTCTCTCTCTCTCTCTCTTCCACTCTCTCTGAGCTCTTTCTTTCTTTCTGTCGTTCTTTCTTTCTTTCATTCTTTCTTTCATTCTGTCGTTATTCCATGCGGCCTGGGCCCCGCACTTGAAACACTGGAGTTGTAACGGCGAGATCATGGAAAGATCAGACATACGGTTGATGGAGGAAATCTTGCACCACCTAATTAATAACAAGTGACACGACACATGAGCATAACCCCGCACCCCCTGTTTAATATTGACGATGATGGACACCGAGGCGGTGCAAGATTTTTGTCATTGGAACCCACGGCCCTTCCGAGGATCAACAGTCAATATTAAAAAGGGGGCGCGGGGTTTCTACTTTGCTTGGCCATTGAAGCGGTGCAAGATTTCCTCCATCAACAGTATGTTCAATGATTAACAGCATACGAAATTTGGATAAACATTGGGAACTGATATTTTCCCATATTTTCTATTTTAATTCAATTCTTTAGCCATTCGTTTTCCAGGGCCCTATTCTCCAGCTATTTTTGGTTCCGTTCTTTTTCGCTATTGTTTGGTTCATGTTTGGCTTGAGAAGCTATTGTGGATTCCTATTGCTGTGGCTTTCCAGGGTATCCATATTCATCGCCGTCACAACACTGGATTCTTGTGATATCAACCATGGGACGCAACACAGCCAGAAGTACCTCAAGAAACTTCGTATCCCTGGCTTCGGTGGCGACCCTGAACTGCACCCTCTCTCTCTCTCATCTGTGACTGATCTCCTCTGAAAATGCCGTTGAGCAAAGCCCTGCAACACTGAATTCCTATGAGTGCGCTTCAGTGTACAGGGTTCCAAAGGTTGAAGTACCCCGCCCAGTTAAAGGAATGTCTTCGGGCTTCAGGTGCAAAGTAAACTTGAGGCCCCAGAAAGTCACATGCTTCCTGATTCTTCACTCCCGCATGCTTGTTCTGGGTGTGTAGGGGGGGAACACGCGCCTCTTCGCCATCCTGGTCAATCCGGGAACGCCCGGACGCGAAGCCATCGGAATCCTTTCGTGGTCCACAGCGAACCAACAGCAAGATCTGGCTACTACCCTAAGCCCTGCATCAGGTGAGAGTGTTGTGGGTGGTCATGAGACATGCGAGCATCCTGCCTGAGCTTCTTGAATCGCAGCTTCTTGAGCTTCTGCAACCGGCTTCAGCCACGGCCCAGTTGGCTTCTGCGCAGCAATGGCGATGCAACAACGCAGTGGAATAAGAGAGAGCCACAAACAACTGCTTTTCATTTCAACTGGCTGCGATACCGATCCGGCAACCAAAGGGGTGATTTTGACATGTTGAGTACACAAAGACATGGAAGGTTCGGGCAGGGCTGGGACCACGCGGGGTCGCCCTGCCAAGGCCCTAGGACATCCTACACATCCATATGAAGGATGCCCTTTTAAAGGATTAAGGGCGTAGATTCCTTAATTATCCTTCATTCAGAGAAGTATACTCCTTAATTAAGGTGTAGATTCCTTACTTAAGGGGTATATTGAGCTCACCCTCAGGGTCTTGGGGGGCTGCAGCTCTTGCAGCCGAATGGCTTCTGGCTCTTTGTGCTCCGCAGCTTCCGAGCGGCCCTTGTCAGGCCGAAGCGTGTGGGCATAGTACTGGAGGTCCTCTGCTATGCAAAATGGCAAAAAAAAATTGCACAGCAAACAAGTCTAAAACCACCCTCAAGCAACCTGTGCCTCAAAGATTTTGTGGGGCCTGGTGGTGCCCCGTCAACGCGCGGGGCACCAGCGGTCTCTCAGTCTATACTCGTCCAGTGATGTAGGAATCCTCATAATTGCCCAAACCTCACGATACAACTTCTAACTTCCAGTCTGAAAAGTATGTGGCAAGGGGCCCAGGATTGTGCAGAAACGTCTGAAAGACCCGGAGGGTGTTCCTGGCACCCAGTAGTTTTGGTGCTACCTCAAGTCCGATATCTCACTCAAACTGCCAGAGAAACCCTGAAGCAGGGGTACCATTTCACGTCCGAGAATCTTCTCCATGGAGGCCTTGGAGAACTGGTCGAACTCCGAGGGAGGTGCGTAGCAAAAGGCAGAGCACCACCGCGGAAACATATGGAAGCATTTTTGGCAAACATCTGGCAAGACAAGGCTTTGAGCCAAAACCTCACAAGGTTCACGATTGTTGGGACCGGACTTGACGGATTGGGACAAGTCGACACACACACACACACACACACACACTCACACAGCTGCCGAAGCTGCCGGTAGCGTTCTAGCTCTGCGGAATGCCTTCAGTGCAGGGATGGAGGCATGAAATGGCCTCTGTGCAGGCACAGCTGCCATGGCCTCGTGGGCCCGGGTCTTGCACGGAGAGTGCGCAAGGGCCTCGCGTAGAAAGGCCTCGCATCTGCTGGGGTTTAAGCTTGGGGTTGGTAGAGGGCTGTTTGGGTTCAGAGGGTTTCTGAGGCCACCGTCGTCCTAGTGTGCTGAAGCTCCAATGGACACCCCTGACACCTGAGAGTCATACGTATAGGATGCGGCCCTCAGAAGGGGATTTGAGTTTTAAGAGCTCCCCCTCCCTCCCTCCTTAAGTTTCCTTGCATTTTGGGATATATATATTATCATATACTCCACGTCCATTTGTGTAGATTTTCAATCATTCCTCCAGTAACTTGATACTGTTTTTTGTAAATTATTAACATGATTTGTTTCTTTTTCGGTAAAAAAACCGTATCACCTAAAAATTAAATACTTCTTTAATGCTTTTATCTGTTGCTTTCCTATCTTTAAAATACGAAAGTATTATGAAAAAAAAAAACGTTTTCCACCAATAGAATCAACAAAATAAGAACCAGCATCAAAACCAGAAAAACCAGCAAATCCAGATCCATCCAAAGCAGAATCAACCAGCAAAACCAGTACAATCCAAAGTAATATTATACATATATATATATATCAGAATTTTTACGAAATAGTACTTTGCTGAATATACCATTGATTTACAATTAGATCTGTAGATGTGATATCATAAAATATGTTAACATTCAGATCTGCATTGTCCAGATCTGTTTTGACTTCAGATCCGATCTACATGTAGATAACTCCAAGTAATGAATCGGATCTGGAAAACATCAGATCTGAATTATCAAACTGATAAAAAAGAATATCAAAACTTTATCAGTTTGATAATTGAAAAAATGAATTGATATCAAAAAAATTGATAAATTGACTTGATAATTTGATAACTTGATATGATAATTTTGATGATCAACGCAATATTTGATAGTGAAACAGACGATGATCGAATAGCGCGCACTTTGCAGTGGATACTGCAGCGTATTCCGAATAATACAAGGCTGCCCGTTTGGGGAACAGGTCCTATACTAAGTAGGAGAGCATTTGGCATTTGGGGGGCACATTAGGGGACCCCCCAATTTTGGAACATGCCGCAAACCCTGAACCCCAGAACCCCAAACCCTACCAGTATCAACCCCTGAACCCTAAACCCTAAACCCTAAACCCTAAACCCTAAACCCTAAACCCTAAACCCTAAACCCTAAACCCTAAACCCAAAAAAAGGCCCCCAAACCCTGCCTCCACGGCTTGGCCTTCATGCAGCGGCTCCATGGCCAGTTCAACAGGCTCCCCAAAACCCCTAAATCCGATACCCTCAACTCCTCAACTCCTCAACTCCTCAACTCCTCAACTCCTCAGCTCCTCAACTCCGAATTAAACCCTAAACCCTCCGAGGAAAGGGTGAGTTTTGGGTTTAAGGCTTCCCTAAACCGCTTTCACAAATCCCAACATTCTGGACCCCCAAACCACCCACGGCCAGAGGGCAGATGCATAGCATTCCAGGTGCCGCGTGTTTGTTTTCGCCGCCCGGTTTACGGGTTAGGGTTGTGGGGTTTTGGGCTTGTGCTAGGGGCTTCGGTCCAACTCCCGATATCAGGGCCTCGAATGACGGTGTTCAAGCTCTGCTAGATTTGAGGATTCGGTTTCCAGAAGCTGAAGTATCTTGACAAGGCAGGTCGTTAAATGTACACAAAAGGGGGAACTCAAATGGCTGCGAGTGCCGGCACATGGCCAAAAATCAAACGAAACGAAGAACAAACCGAGTAATGCATGGCCCATCCAAGAGTAGCAAGTCCAGCAGATCAACGACTACACACCGAGCCGGAGAAACTCGGACCACTCTGAACAAGTGGGAGGGGAGGGCTGGGGGAGGGCTTACGTCCAGGCTCAGTTATAGGGCTATAGGGTAGTACCAAGAACCCTGTACCAAAGTCCTGAGCAGGGATTCTAATAGGGGGGTACTGTGGTACTGTGATCCCTATTCAGGGCTGTTAGTATAAGGGTGAACATCCCAGTTATGGTATACTCCACCAAAAACAACTGGCTGGTTCTTAGTAGGGAATGAGGGAATGCGGGCCTTATATATATATATATATACATACCCTTTAAGGGGTTATAGGGTTGCATAGGGCCCTCATTCCCTCATTCCCTAGTAAGAATCAGAACCAGGGGGATAATGGTACTACCTGGTACTACATTGGGAGGCAGGACTCGGCGGGATCGGCTCTACACACGGCTCATCGGGGGGGGGGGGGGTATTTTGAGACGAGGCCGAGGTGGAAACATAAAGTTAGCGCATGTTAGCGCTCCTCCTCTTCTTCTTCTTCTTATTCTTCTTCTTCTTCTTCTTCTTCTTCTTCTTCTTCTTCTTCTTCTTCTTCTTCTTCTTCTTCTTCTTCTTCTTCTTCTTCTTCTTCTTCTTCTTCTTCTTCTTCTTCTTCTGCTCTCGCTCTCTCTCCCGCTTTTTCTCTCTCTCTCTCTCTTCATGTTTTCGCGCGCGGGTTCTGGAGCAGCCTGTATAAACACTGTAGCACTGCATAACGTAGTCCTAATCCGAATTAGACGCCACTGCCCGCGAACAACCGAATCACCAGAGTTCTGGCGACTATGTCACCGGAACCCGGATGGGCGCAACGATGGGCCGCTGGGCAATTGGCATCTTTGAGAGGGCCAAGGGCCCTAAACCCTAAACCCTAAACCCTAAACCCGATTTTGCAAGGTACGGACTTATGACGTCCAAAGCTCCCTGCCCTGACTTATTCCATCCCACACTTGGGCACTGCTGGGAAGCCTGTGCACTGTACAGGAAGCCGCTCAAGAAGCACGCCTCCAAATTTCGGCAGGCTTCGCCGCAAGAACGCCCCAAGTGTTTGGGGCCCTTGGTGCAACAAGACGGCCAGTGCAGTGTCTCAACAACTCCCTCCAAGCTGTTTCGCCGTTTGGCGTGGGCCTTGTCACCACAACAGCCAGAGATAACCTAGAAATGACCCACAACAGAAGTCCAAAAAACTATGCACAGGCAATCGGCGGTGGATCGCCTACTGACGGCCGTTCAAAAGCCGACTGAAAAGCCTTGGCCTTTTTGAGGCCATCATACTGTCACTGTACACGACTGACGATGCTTTCTTAAAGATGCGCCTCCACAAACTCGTCGTTCGTCTGAAGCAGGTAGGTTGCTACGGACACGGGCTCCATCTCTCCATCAAGCAGCACCTGAACCACTGGCTCTGACACTGCCACCCCATAGCCCTCTCCATACTTCGGCTCTTCAAGCACAGTTCCCAGTACCCAGCCCACACGTCGCCCCCTGTACACCTGCACGGGCAAATCCTGGGAGAATCTTCTGCGAATCCGGTCGAGGCTGATGTCTTGATGCACCTTCTCCTCACCTTTGTTATGCTGAGTTCCTAAGCCCCCTCAAACAAGTGTACACTTTCAGTTCTATAGGGGAGTATAGTATCCCAAAAAGTGCAAAGTGTGCTCACTCAGCTACTGAGTCACCTGATTCAGATCCACAGGTGACATCGAAGATGCCACAGGAGTGGAAGACTTTGGTGATCAAACCCGGCATCCAGGTACATGAGGCTGAGTCCCAGAAGACGACGGGATCTCCATCTTGAAGAGCCTTGGGGACGAAATGTACCCTAAAAGTAGGGTTATACACCCTATACTACTACAATACTATAATCCCGATTAAGGAAATATGTCCCCAAGGAGCAGGATGCAAGTCGCTCAGGGGAACGTCCTTCCGCAGCTGCCTTCGCAAGCCCACCTCCACCGAGTAGCGGGGGAGCTGCTCCCAGGACCGAAATCGGCCAGAGCCACGGACGCTACCCTGAATCATGGTCTGGTGCGTGGAGGACCAATAAATCACCGGGGCGCGATCTTTGTAGACCTGTTGCCACGCAAGGGTGCGCTTCCAGCGGACGGGCTCCTCATTGTTGAGCTCCGCATCTTCGAGTTCGGCTTGCCCTCCCTCCCCGCTGTCTGCGTTGCCTTGGGGGTTGTTGTCCTCTTCGTCCTCCTCGTCGTCCTCCTCATTGTTGTCCTCCTTTTCCTCCTCCTCCTCCTCTTCTTCCGGCCTCTCCTCGTCGTCTTCCTTGGCTTCCATCGCCTTCCCAACGCCGCGCTCCAGGTCGAGGTCGCACTCACGCCACACTTGCAAAGAGCCCTGCGACCGAGACTTCTGGGATGCTGCACCCCACTGGCCACTGCGGCTACCTTGGGGACGAAATGGACCCTAAAAGGGTTTACGGTCCATAGACCTTACTAGGGATTAGGGTGTATGACCCTACTTTTAGGGTACATTTCGTCCCCAAGGTACTGGCGCTGCTGCCCAAATGACGCAGCTGGGGCATGGGAGCTGCCTCAGCCTCGGTGATGTCTTGCACATCCACGGTGCTCAGATCCAGCGTCACACGCCGATGGCCCTTCCTTGGCTGCACAGCTTTCAGGGTTTAGGGCTGAGGGTTTAGGGTTTAGGGTGTTTTCACTGCTTTACTGGACTTCGCTCGGTTGAGGTCGGTAGAAGGCTCAGGGGCTGAGGGTATGGCATGGCATGGCAAAGCTCAGGAAAGTTTCAGGTGGTTCAAGCGTTGGATGAATCGGTCCGGCTCCACATGCCACCTTACCCGCACCTTCTTCGGCCCACTCTCCTCATCCAAGCTGGTTGTAGAACAGATCTGTCTGCGAGAGAAGGTGACCAAATGCAACTCTCCACCGGCATCCATGATGTTTGTGGTGCCACCCGTAGGCGGATTCAGTCGGTGTCTGCAGCGCAGGTAGACACAGCAGCAACAGAAGCAAGCCGCCAAGCATATGAGGACAATCGCCAGGTAGACGGCGTTAGCATGCGGCCGCGTCGCCTCAGAGTCCAGCATGCTGTTGAAGGGGACCTGCTGCGCCACCGCGAAGACGGACAAGTGGCTTGCCTGGCACCAAGTGCCGCTGCCGGCGACCGTGTCCCCACGGAGCAAAGCCATGCCTTCTGTCGACCAGGCCTGGTCATGAAGGTCATGCACTTTTCTATGGTGCGGCACTACTCGTTTCGAAGGAAAGGAAAGGAAACAACGGAATGCCGGAATCCCTTCACTTAAACCCTTCAGCCAGCGTTCTTCAAAGGAACCGACTCCATGAGGGACGCACCCTGCACCTTTTGTCTTGTCTTAAACTCTAAACCCTTAACACAACCTACAACCTGCTTCAACCTACAACCTGCTTCGCGAAGTCGAAGTAGACACAGGTGTCTCCATCATTGGGCGGAGCTTCCTGACACTCGAGACTGCACCCCTTAATTTCCCAAAAGAAGGCGACTCGATGCGAGCAGAACACATGATTCTGCATAGAATGCCAGTTGCAAGAGTTGCGTGGGCTTCAAAGTTGCGCAGTGAGCTGGCAGTTTACAAAACAGGGTTGAAGTGCAACCACGCCTGAAATCTGAGCAGTATGGGCTCCGAGAGGTTGGAAACGTTCGCCATGGCCAACTCGCCCGCTCGCTCCTCTCTCTGGTTCTTTTTGTAGGGAATGCGGGGCTTCGGGTTTGGGGTGGCGTTTAAGGTGAATGAGGTACCCTATATAATCCCTTAGAAGGTTTGCATAGTGCCCTCATTCCTTTATTCCCTACAGAAAGAACCAGGGGGTCCTGTATCAGCGAGATCTCCAGGATGCGAGAGGTCAAGAGAACTGGCTGGCTTTGCTGACTCTGCATGGCCTGGGTCACGAAGCCAGAGAGGGGCGGCAAGTTACGTGCGCATGCGTGCGTGTTTTGGCTCGATCGTGGATTCTTATAGGTCTTCTGACTCGAGCACGCCGGACATTAACAAGAGTGATCGAGTAGCTGTGGTCGACTCCTCGTTGAGTGGCATTAGGGTCATCATGACATTCCCCTCTGCTTCCAGATTTTGCACCAGGTCTCTTGGGAGCACAGTGGCAAAGCTGTCCTCACTTGGGTGCGGAGTCACTTGCTGACCTACTGGTGCTTCCTGGACGCCAAACCCTAAACCCTAAACCCAAACCCTAAACCCTAAACCTAACAGGCAAAAAAGTTCAAGAGACCTTTTTTGTGTTAGTTTTTGGCCAGCGAAGCTTCCGACTCGCTGGCTTGAAGTTCAAAGACCACGTTGCCCTCGGCGCCCTCGGTGCTTTGGCTGTCCAACCTTACAACCGTGACGTTGCCCAGCGGGGTCTCCAGTTGCACGGTCTCCTTCCCTAGGATGGAGATGAAACCCCTCTGAAAAATATTGCTAAACATGATGCCCTGAAACCGAATAAGGGACATATGAAACAGTTCGGGCCTAACTACAATCTCCTTAAACCCAATAAGGGAAAACGTGAAATACCGCAAGGGCCGAGCTTCCCATGGTCAAAGCAGAGAACGCGCTCTGCATGGCTGCGGTCATCACGGTGCCCTGCAGGCTGGAGACGCTCTCAGGCAGCAGCAGGGAGCCTCTGAGCGTGGTTGTGGTACCTTACTTCTCTAATCTTCGCTAACAACCAAGGGACAACAAAAGGTTAAACTTTACTTTTCCTACTAAATAAGGAAACCGTTTCCAGGAAACCCAAAAAAACTCAAAGTTCAGCTGTTGGAGAAGTAAGGTGCTGGTGCTGCTGGTGCTACTTGTGCTACTGGAGAAGCTGCTACTGGTGGACGTCCTGGTGTTTGAGGGGTTTAGGGTTTAGGGTTAAGGGTTTAGGCTTTAAGCTTTAGGCTTTAGGGTTTAGGGGCTGGTGGGTGGACGTCCTGGTGTTCATGGTGCTGCTCGAGCTCGTGACGAAAGTACGGCTGGTGCTTTCAGTCCTCGTGAACGTCGACGTCGTTGTCGCCGTCGTCGTCGATGTCGTTGTTGTCAGGTTTGTGCCTGACGTTGTTGTCACCGTCGTCCAGGTTGTGGTTGCAGTTGTCGATGTCGTTGTTGTCAGGTTTGTGCCTGACGTCGTTGTCGCTGTCGTCCAGGTTGTGGTTGCAGTCGTCGAGGTGCTACTGGTCATGGTACCGTTCAATTGCAGCACACCCATGTCAAAGGTCCAGAGGTCTTGGAGCCTTGTTCCCCCGGCACTGCCACCATGCACCCAGAGAGCTCCCGAGCCATTGGTGTCAGCACCCGGGTCCCAGGCAACTACTTGGCCACGTCGCCCTGTGGGAGCTCCCGGATCCAAAATCTGGGTCCACCGTTCCTCCTGCACATGAAACCTCCAGGTCCTTAGCATCCCAGGAGAGGTCCGGCGGTTGCTGTAGGACAAGATTGTAGTAACTTTAGGGTTTAGGGTTTAGGGTTTAGGGTTTAGGGTTTAGGGTTTAGGACTGAGTGTGGAAGCATGAGCATCATGAGGCCGATGAATGAGCTCAGGATCAACTTGGCGTTGCCCGAGACAGATGTCGGACAAGAATCACAGGACCAACGCGACACCCTTCATCAACACATTTCCCTGCCCGAAATAAGCTATACTCCCTGTTGCTTTAGGTGCTCAAGGCTAACCCTAAACCCTAAACCCGAAACCTTTTTGCCGCTGGACTAAACCCTTGGACTGAAACCCTAAACCCTAAACCCTAAACCCTAAACCCTAAACCCTAAACCCTAAACCCTAAACCCTAAACCCTGTTCCAGACCAACAGCAAGCCGGGGATCGTTAGCCTCCTTCCATGGCCACCGGCAGTGATCCACAGCGCCCTGTCGTTCATGTCCCAAGCCTTGGGGACCAAAATGAGCCCTAAAAGGGTTTAGGGTTCATACTGCCTTCAGGGTTTAGGGTTTAGGGTTTAGGGTTTAGGGTGTAGGGTTTAGGGTTAGGGCCTTCATGTAGGGCTGATAGTAGTATAGGGCATATAGCCCTAAAAGGGCTGATGGTTCACATTGCCTTGAAACAGGGTTTATAGTGGTATAGGGTATATGGCCCTAAAAGGGTTTATGGTTCATATTACCTCAAATAGAGTTTATAGTAGTATAGGGTATATAATTTCCTGAAAAGGGTTTGTGGTTCATAGTACCTTACTAGGAATTATAGTAGTATAGGGTATCCTTGGGGACCAAATGTACCCCAAAAGGGTTTATGGTTCATACTGCCTTAATAAGAATCATAGTCCTAAAGGGTCACATAACCCTGAAAGGGTTTATGGTTCATATACCTCAAAATAGGGTTTTTAGTAGTATAGGGGTCTATGACCCCGGTTTAGGGTTTAGGGTTTAGGGTTTAGGGTTTAGGGTTTAGGGTTTAGGGTTTAGGGGTTCATCTGGCCCCCAAGGGGCAGCTGCCAGGTCGTGTCTCGGACCCAGTCGGTCACTGACCAGCGTCCAGGTTCCCTGAAACTTCCAAAGGTCCTGGGACTTGGAGGTTCGGTTTAGGGTTTAGGGGGAGGTTTGGGGTTTAGGGTTTAGGGTTTAGGGTTTCGGGTTTAGGGTTTAGGGTTTAGGGAGATAAGCCCCTAGAAGGGCTTCTGATTCATATACCGCAATAGGACTTCTAGTCTATAGGGTATAGGACCCCAATTTTGGGGGTACTGGGAGGTTCAGAGAAGCCCCTATTGGGGTACTTAAGGGGCCGCAAAAAGTGGGTTCTAACTAAACTTACAAGTTATAAGTGGTGACTAAGTACCCTGAACCTCCCAGTCCTGGTAGCGTCGGCCGGCTCTGCCACCGTAGACCCAGAAGCTTTGGTCCACTGCATCCCAAGCCACCACGTGCTCCGAGCGCGCGCTGGGGCCGCCGCTGCCGCTACCTTGTGGACCACATGAACCCTAAATTGGGGTATATATACCCTATACTGCTAGAATCCCTGTTAAGGAAATATGAACCATAAACCCTTTTAGGGTTAGATATCCCCATACTACTAAAAAACCCTAGTTTGAGGCATAAGAACCATAAACCCCTTTAAAGGGTTCACTATTCATCCCCAAGGTGCTGGACACGAAGATCCAGGAGTTCATCTGAAACTTCCAGAGTTCGTCGCTTCGGCCCCCGAGAACCTCCCCTCCGAAGATGACCAGCGCGTCGCTGTCCTTGGCCCACTGTTGGGGTTTAGGGTTTAGGGTTTAGGGTTTAGGGTTTAGGGTTTAGGGTTTAGGGCTAATGACCATGTTTGCTCCTTTTAGGGGTTCAAGCATCCATAAGCAAGTAAAATGCTTTTCAACAAATGACCCAGTGTCACTGGCCCAGGCCGCGGCGTGGTCCTTCCGCGGTGCGGGGGCGCCATCTTCCCCATCATGGACCAAGGTCCACCCCGAATCGAACTTCCAGAGGTCTCCCAGAAGGCCGCCATCATATCCCCCATGTATCCTTAGCTGCTGAGTTCATAGGCCCCCCAAGAAAGGTGCGCTTTCAGTTCTAAAGGGGATTAAGAGTACCCCAAACAGTAAAAAGTGTACTCACTCAGCTACGAAGTATCCAAAGGGCCTCGCCCTTCGGATCCCAGCAGGCCACGTGGGATTCGCGGCCCCGGGGCGCGGGCGTTAGCGCTGGGCCGGCCACTGCAAACCACGTGCTGACCTGGGGGTCGAATCTCCACAGCTCCGAGGAGTAGGTCGAGCCATCAAAGCCCCCATGCATCCAAAACCTATACTGAACTTGGCACAGCAAAATTAGAATTTTTTGCCGTTCCTGAGGGATTATAACCAAAAATTATATAACTTATTTCCAAGTACCCCCTAAGACACCCCTGGTTCCCCCATGCGGCTGCGTGCTTCGAGCGCCCAGACGGCACCGGCACCTCGTCCTCTGTGACGAGCTGCCAGCGGTCTGTGAAGGCCCAGGCGAGCACGCAGGCGCCCAGCCTGTGAATAAGGCAGAGCTCTTGCATGGTCCTGGGCGCACACGATGCGCACGCCCCCCCACCCCTCCCCCCCCCGGCGCCTTGAGCCAACAGCTTTAAGCGCGTTGAATAGATAGCCCTTGCACCTTCGAACCAGAGGCTCTCTGCCGCCAGCGTCCGGCAATACAGAAACCTAATGCACCAGGCTATGAACGGCAACCCTAAACCCTGAAACCTAAGCCCTAAACCCAAAAGTCTCTCCTCTGGTCGGTTGTGCAAGACGCGGCTCGGGTCATTTTTTCCCCAGTGCGTCTGGCATCCGCAGCTCGGGTTCGTTGTCCATGGCCAGCGCGGGCGTGTTGCAAGGACGGGCATTTCCTGCACGACGTACCCTGAACCCTAAACCCGAAGCCCTAAACCCTAAGCCCTAAACCCTAAACCCTAAACCTTTTTAGGGCTTAGGGCTTTAACCTGGGCTTTAACCTGGGCTGGCTGTTGCTTACCACCATGAGCCTCCAAGGAGACTTTTCTATGCTGGGGGAGAATAAAGCCACTGGAGACAGGTTGCCGTGCGCGTAGTTCTGGGGTTTAGGGTTTAGGGTTTAGGGATTAGGGATTAGGGTTTAGGGTTTAGGTCTCGAGTGACAGTGGTTTCATGGTTTAACTGCATGAACCGTGGTGATAACATCCTGTGCAAATGAGTGTAATGCCTATCTGACTGCGGCACCGCCGTTCTGGCAGGTCTCTTATGCGACAGCGAAAACAGCCAAAAACCCTAAACCCCCCACACCCCCAAAACAGCCAAAAACCCTAAAGCCTAATCTCCCCCAAACCCCAAAACCCTGGAACCCTTTTTGCAGGTCTCTTGCAGCCAGCCGGGCTAGAGTTCAGCCTGAAACCCAAAACCCTAAAACCCTGAAACCCCAAAACCCGAAAAACCCAAAAACCCTAAAAACCCTACAATCCCTGAAACCCCTAAAAACCCTAAACACCAAAAAAACCCAAAAACCCTCTGAACCCTAAAAGCCCTAAAACCCTTAAAACCCTCTAAACCCAAAAAAACCTGCAACCCGAAACCCTGAAAGCCCTAAAACCCTAAAAACCCTCTAAACCCAAAAATCCTGAAACCCTAAACCCTGAAAACCCTAAATACCCTCTCAACCCTCTAAACCCTCTAAACCCTAAGAACCCTGAAACCCTAACAACAAATGTAGCGAAGTGGCTTCGGGCAGTCGATCCACTGCAGCGCCAGCGCCGATGCTCCGTGCTTCGGTCTTAGCAGAAAATAAGCAAAAAGGAAAACTCAGCCAAGGTTTGGGGGTTTCACTGTTTAGGGCTTAGGGTTTAGGGTGAGTTTAGGGCTTAAGGTTGAGGGTTTTGGGGTACCTAGACCCCCAAGGTATGTCAAAAACACACACACAACACCTATGAGCAGGTCATTGTTTGCATACTTTGGGGGTTTACTCTTCGCTCTCTCTCTCTGAGTCTGAGCCACTGAGCGCTTTGGGGGCTTGGGTGCACTGAATTATGCAAGCTGTGTCGCCTGTGCCCGTGTCGTCACGGTGCTTGTGGCGTATGGGCTAAACAGAATCCTGACTGTAATCCCATTTCGGGGCTCCAGTTTTTGTTTTAGGGCACTCTCCAGAATTAGTCTATTTGCAAAAATAGAAAATAGTCGCATTATAGTTTATTTGCATAGACAGACAAGGGAAATCAAGGTCATTTGAGAGCTTAGCGTTAGTCTAGCGTATCCGCGAGAGCTAAGCTTCAAGACTATTCTATGGGCTATTTCGATCAAATAAGTAATTGTCAGGAAATTTGTATAATTAATCGTCAGAAAATAGTCTTGTCGGGTTAGGGTTGAGGGTTTTGGAAGGTTCGGCTGCGGGGGCATGCCCAATCTGGCGAGTTTCAGGGTTCAGTGGCCGATATGGTGGGCTTCCGGCACCAGCAATTGAGAGGGGGTAAGGTTACACTCGTGTCACGTGTCCCTTGAGGCTCACCAGGCCTCTGACATATTCTCGAACTGCAGGGCCCGTGTGAGATGCCCAAGCACCTGAAAAGTGGATGTCATGGCTTTCACACGTACGCTAACTTAGGAGGGGGGGGGGGGCAGCAAAACAGAAAACTCCGGGGCCACAACCACACTACGCGATCCTTTCGTTTTCTGTAAGCTAGCACACACACACACATCCACATCCACATCCACATCCACATCCACACGCACCCACCCTGGACGAATGAAAACAAGCTACATTACGTGATGATTCTGCGTAGCTTTTCCGCCATTTACTAGGTTCGGTCGCGCAGGTAACATGGTACCTCCCCTCAAAAAAAGGCATTAGACGCATGTGCAAGACGGAGCCCAAGAGCATCCACAATCGCCTGAACCAATTAGGCATCTCAGCCCCGCCACCACCTCGATCAGCGGTGGCAGCTGAAGCTGAGCCAAATCACCGGAAACAACAACGGCAGCTCACCTACCCCTTACAGCTTGAAAGCTTGAAGCTCCAATGAGTCCTTGTACTAGGACAGAGGGCCTCTGGTGCATCCCAGGAAAGCAAGGTAAGAGGACTCCCCATAAACCGAACATCACCCATCAGCGCTCTCCTTTGCAAAAGGAGCCATGCTGAGTCAGACCTAACGAGGGATGAGTTGGAGGAAGTTTTGAGTGAATTGGGGTCTCAAGATAAGCACTAGTAGCTTAAACGCTCAAGGACTCGATGGCTTTTAGTTGCGTTGCCTGCATTCTCTGGCCAAACATCGTCTGCTGGCGCAAAGTCCCGCTATGCCCCAAAACGCCCCCAACTCCAAACCCTCTTTTGACATCCTGAAGACCAAACTGGCACAAACCCCAAACCGCTAAGACTCGGGCTCTGCTGCATTCTACAACAACAACACCCTTTTTTGCTCGGATCCGCCTGTGTCATGTTCTCTAGCTTGCCGCATCTCCTTCAAGCGCTGGACTGAAGTCCCATCTCCAGGACCACCTCGGCAACAGGCAAAGCTCGACTTGGAGTGGCGACAAAACAGCTGGCAGGCAAAATCAGATGACAAAACAAGTGCATTTCTTCTCGCGCTGGTGGAAGTCATTGCCGGACGCTGCAGGGGTGAAACCGGCCTTCTTGGAGACACAGGGCAGGTCCGGTTGCTACGGCGCAGCAAGATGACTGCATCTTGCCGCGCCAAGGTCGGCGGCATTGCACCGTGGAAGCATGCTCATTAGAATCATTATGGCGGCACAGCCAGCTCACGCTACAGTGAAGTGACCCACGAGCCTGTGTATAAAGACTTATATCATCTATGTATGTAGACATTTGCCCTTGCGCCCAGTGTTGGAAGCCCATGCATGCGTGACTCGAGCGCCTTTCACAGGGGCGACGTCACAGCCTGGTGCTCTGGCACCGGAGCCATGAAGGCGTAGCGGAAGCATGTCAGGTGCTGGGCCGCGCGGCGGTTGGCCTCAATGAGTTGGAGCTGGAAGGGGCACCGGCAAGGCATGGCAAAACGGTAAAACGTCCGAGCTCGCCTTCTTTGCATTCTTGGGCAAGAAGGTGCGCTTGGGCAAGCTCAAGGTGGCTGGCATGAGGCATGGCGTTGCTGCAAGTAAGCCAATCAGCAACAAGTCAAGCTCCGAACTGGCCTTCGGGAATTTCAAGGCCTTCCACATCCATGAGCCGCTCATTGGCAGACGCACCAGCCATGACCTGGCGGAAGCCCGGCACGGAGGGGACAACTCGTTTTGCACTCCTGCAGCACGCGCTTGTCACACTGTAAGACGCGCGCGGGAGCAGCTTGTGGAGCTGCCTGAACCACCGAACACAAACAACGTGGCCACCCCCCCCCCCCCCACTCCCCCTGCATGCCTTGAGACGTTTAGGCCACTTAAGCCACTTAAGCCACTTAAGCCCGTGGCCATTGCTGGTGCTGGAGGGCTTCGGACCTTGCGCTGCACAGGGACGTGGAAAGAGCAGGTTTGGCGCAGCCGTCCTATTGACCCAACGAGCTCCCCGCGATGCGAACCACTGGCGGCAGTATCACCTGGCAAAAAACGCCTTCCACGGCCACTCCACTGGCCACTCACCCCCCTTTCGCAATTCCGGGCCCCGAGCCCTCACAAGCTGCAACGTGCCAGCGCGGTAAGCATAGATGCATCGCATGACGACCTCGGGCGAACATAGGCAAACTACGTCGTGCATTCCAATGTTTTCCAGGCACAGGGGCAGGTGCAGCTTGAGCTGGGTCTCTGGCAGGGGCACGGAGCATTTCTGGAAGGCTCTGAAGCACTGCTGCTATACTGCGACGATACTGCTACACCACGTCACTCTGAGCAGATGAGGGCGAACCTATCAGACCTGGAAGCTCATGGCCACAGAAACTGATGCAAGTGCAGCAGCTCTGGCACTGGCAGTGGCCCACTAACAGCCTTGCTGGGGATTCCACCAGATCACCTGCTCAGAGGATCAGCGACTGCATCAGCGGCCTGTGGCTCCAATCCCGGCAGATCCGGCAGTCTGGGGGACAACTTGAAGGAACATGAGCTGGAACCTCACAACAACATCCCAGATTTTGACATTTCCCAAAAAAGGGGTACCCCTTATTTATACCCCAAGTAGAATAGCATCCCCTGAAAGGGACCACGAAAATGGTGCCCTTATCTTCGGAAACCCCCCATTTGGCCAAACGTGTCGGCCATCGCCACCGAACGAATTAAAACTTGAAGCCGACCCCCAACTCAAGAAAAAAACATGTTCTCGAGCGGTTTCTGCATGTTAGGTGAGCAGCATGAGGCAAACCCCAATGACGTCCTGAACCCTAAACAAGGAAAGTTAAACCTCAGATGTCTCATTTCAGCCTGAGCCTCTGAGAGGTCCCTGTTAAAACAATGACGAAACCAAAGCTGTCTTCATTGAATGTGTTGGGAAGAAAGCCCCTTGCACCCTTAGTCGCAGCTTGAGAACCCATAAGCTCTGGCCAGAAATCTCGTCGCCGATTCAGTCATCCAAGGGCCCTGCACACATCTCATCCGGCAAAGAACTTGTAGTGCTCGAAAACCTCATTGGGCACACCGGCCCACAAGCAGAAGTAACAGCGCTATAGCAGGCACAGCGGTCACAGCTCAGTCCCAGTAGGGTTTTGGGGATGCATCATAAACACAAACCGTAAACCGTAAACCGTAAAACCCTAAACCCTAAACCCTAAACCCTAAAATCCTAAACCCTAAAACCCTAAAACCCTGAAACCCTAAAACCCTAAAACCCTAAAACCCTAAAACCCTAAAACCCTAAAACCCTAAACCCTTAAACCCTTAAACCCTAAACCCCTAACCACCTCCTGATGTGTCAACAGCCAAGGCACTTGAGCCCAAGGGCATGAGGCAGCTGGCGAAGCCGGCTACCAAGACCTGGAAGCAGATATGAAGTAGGGTATATATTTCCTGTATCCCCAAAAGGACACCCCATATATACACTCACCAATATTAAAAAGGAACCTTATATACACTCACCAAAAACAGGAATATAAACCCTACTTCATATGGAGGGTTCCTACGATTGCCATATTAGGGGCCCCCCGTATTTTTCGCCATATCATGAGACTTCCACACAGCTACAAAGGCTAGATCCAGCTGAAACCCGTGTCGAAGCATCCAAAAAGGAATGGCCCGGTGGTCCTGTGCAATACCCCCCCATTCATGGCTTTAGCCTTTAGCCAGCTTCTGTTGCCACCTTTCAACCTTGGCTGGCTTTCTTGTGTGCTGATCTGGCTGCTCCAGACATCGCGCCCTGTGCTCCGAGAGCTGGAGTTGTTGCTTTCTTGCGCCCTGATCTGGTGCGTACAATTCATGTGTTGCAGACATCGTGCCCTGACCTGGCAACTGTTTCTGTTGCAATGGCTCACGACCCTTCCCTCGAGATTGCTAGCAACTCATTTCCTGAACGTGATGGCGCCTGCCAGTCATCCTCGGGAGACGGGAGAGGAACACCTGAACCAAGAACAGGGCACAAGACGGGATCTCAAAGGCTGAGCCTCAAGAACTCTCGGCCTGCTCACTCCATTGTTCTCCGCCTCCACAGGGTTTAGGGTTTAGGGTTTAGGGTTTAGGGTTTAGGGTTTAGGGTTTAGGGTTTAGGGTTTAGGGTTTAGGGTTCCGCTGTGGAAGAGGAGACATGATGCCTATCGTCCGGCACAGCACATCATGCCACCTCAGCCAGAGTTTTAGGGACCCCTAACAGGGAGCCTGAATCTTCTTTCCCTACATCACTTTGTGTAGTCCCTATATACCTCAGAAGCCCCCTAAATCACCCCCAACAAAAACCCTCAGGTCCCTAAGAAGGCCTGTAAGGCTTCAACTGGTGCCCTTGGCTGCAGCAAACCGTACCCCGAATGCCTTTGGAGTCCTAGCTCCATGGGTGCGGAGATATGAAAAGCAAGCCCAAGAAGCTTAACTCAGTTGTCCAGTACCTAGGGGTTTTAAAGGTTAACCTTTGGGAATATAAGGGGAATATATTAACCCAAAAAGGTTAAAGGTTACCTACTCTACTACTAAGTTAAGCCGTGAGATGAGACATCGCAACTAAATGGTTCCCCTCCCCATGTTTGAGCATGGCATGCCTCCAAGCAGCAGGACCAAGCTAGCAGCCTTCCCACGTGATCTCCACATGGGTTTAGGTTTAGGGTTTAGAGGGTATAGGGTCTAGGGTTTAGGGTTTAGGGTTTAGGGTTTAGGGTTTCGGGTTTCGGGTTTCGGGTTTAGGTCACAGACGTGTCCCTTTGCATTGCGCCGGTTCTTTTCTCACCTCCGTCGCCAGTGCTGAAGCATCTGCCAAAGCTGAAAACCCCTTGGATCTTCCAACTTTGACCTCCAGCAAGTCAGGGACGCAATGATCCGCAGGATGTCGGCCACCTGGAACCCCAAACTACCCCCCAAATTCAGGTTTAGGGTTTGGGGTTTGGGGTCTAGGGTTTAGGGTTTAGGGTCTTTTGCATGACCGGTGACGGCCGGTGGACGTCCCAATGCAGACCAGACTCGACTGATGTAAACACTAAACCCTCACCCCTAAACCCTAAACCCTAATCACCCTAACTACCCTAAACCCCAACTTCAAGCCAAGCCGCGAAACACCAAAAGAGCAGCAGCAAGGCCACGCCTCCTAAGAATTTCGGTCAACCTTTGGGACCAAACGAACCCTCAAGTTGGGGCACACCATACCCCATGCCAATATCATCCCACTTTAGGGTTTGGGGTTTAGGGTTTAGGGTTTAGTGTTTAGGGTTTAGGGTACGTGGAACACAAACCCCTCTAGGGTTCATTTAGTCCGCAAGGAATCTGCCGCTTTGTGCGGCGTGTTTAGGGTGCCACACAACATGAGGCTCCAATGCGAACCGTCATGATTTCTTGCTCTTTCTATATCCCTCTCCCCAAACCCGTTCTTCATGCTGAATGCTCCCCTTTCCATGCCCCCCTAAACCCTAAACCCCAAGCCTAAACTCATTGAGTTGAAAAGCAAATCTGTGACTAAATCCACCCTAAACCCCTTCAGGGCAAGTCACCAATCGACAAGCACAGCTCAACTCGGCTGGCAGCGCAGTAGCCTTCGTAGAGAACTTGGTACATGTGCGCCTTGGTTTAGAGTTTGGGGTTTGGGGTTTAGGTTTTTTTTTTGCCACCCGCCTAGCTGATGGTAACATCGCACTGTCAGGGAAGTTTGACGGCACATCCATATCTGAAAAACCTTTCGCCGGTTTAGGGTTTATAGGGCTTAGGGTTTAGGGTTTCGGGGGGTACCCAAACTGGCTTGAAAGCTGCAACCGGCTTCTCTGTTTTCATTGAAAAGGAAGCGTTGGAAGATGAGCGCCATAGCCATTTCAATACTGTATCATGGGTTTAGGGTTTAGGGTTTAGGGTTTAGGGTTTAGGGTTTAGGGTTTAGGGTTTAGGGCTTCACTAAACAGACAACTATTCTGCTTCTTCTTTTGCTTGCTCAAGTTTCTGCTTTGTTTGCCGTCGAATTCCCAGAGTCTGCGCCCGATACGGAAATCACCTCGGATGCGAGTCCAAAGCTGCCTTGGGCATGGCACTCGACAACGGGCACACGGCACGAAAGCAAGCAAAAACGCAAGAAATGCCACGAACCGATGCTCCTTTACTGCCTGCTGCAACCCTAGACTCTGGACGCGATAAATTATAAACCCTAAACCCTAAACCCCAAAACCCTGCAAACCCAAAGCTCACCCCAAGGTCGTCCCTCCGAGCTCACGCTGGAAAGCCAAGGCGCAATGTGGCCCGCTGTAATGCCTATGATGCACTGGAACCAAGCGCGGCCAATCACGTTTTGTTGCAACTTACACGTATCTGAGAGTTTCTGAGGAAGGCTGTGCTTTCATTTGTGCACGTCTTGGCTCTCTCAGGAAGGTTCCGTTGCAATTTTCTACACGTCGTGGATTTCTTGTGAATGTTTCGTTGCAAGTCCTGATGTCTCTTGTTTCTGACGGAGGTTTCGTTGCAATTTCAACGCGCCTTTAGTTTCTGAGGAAGCTTGCATTCATGTCTATGCGTCTTAGGACTTGGCGGTATGTTTCTTGCAGTTTCACACGCCTTGGGTTTCCGAAGAAGGTTTTCTGCAAGCCCAACGTTTCGTTGCAAGTCCAGCGCGTCTTGGACTTGCAAGTTCTGCACGTTTGTGTTTTGCGATGAAAGTTTCGTTGCAATCGCTACATCATAGATGTCTGAGGAAGGTGTCGGCTCATGTTCTGCACATCTGAACGAGAGTAATGTATCAGTGTAAAAGTGTCGCGTAGTGTCGCGTAAGTGTCGTAGTTAGTTCGCAGTTCGTAGTACTCAGCAAGTTGTTCAGGTATGTTAGTCATTCGGAAAATACCGATTCTGTATTGAGTGTAGCGTGCTAGCGGAAGAAGTTCAATCAATGTGTCACTTCGATTAAAATACTGCAATGAGTAGGGGCATTAAATGACCGAGCACGCGCCTCAACTGACACTCCCTAGAACCCTAAGCCATGAGAAGCCCCAAACGTTTAGAAAAAGGAAGCAGGCCTTCTCACGATACTGTTCTGCGACACGTGTGCAGTTTGGGGTTTAGGGTTTAGGGTTTTCGGTTTAGGGTTTAGGGTTTGGGGTCTAGGGTTTGGGGTTTAGGGTTCTGTTTGCCACGTTGCTGATAAAGTAGGCATGGATGGGCGCCATTCCAGCCGCCACGGCCAAAGAGAGGCTAGGGAAGAGTAGCGAAGGAAACCAAACAATGACCTGGGCCATAGGGTTTAGGGTTTAGGGTTTAGGGTTTAGGGCTTAGGGTTTTAATTAGGGGTTTAGGGTCTCAAGGAGCCTAGTTCAGCTACGGCTTGCAATTTTGGCAAGATCTTCATCAGTTGCGATTCAGTTCGTCTCCGCACCACAGTAGCTCCACGGACCATCATCTGACTTTGGACATGCCTAGTTGCTATGCCAGTTGTTAATGGAAAGAATGTATTTCCCCATGTGCTCTTCTACAAGTGGCATGTATTTCGGAATGACTATGATCATGTGCGGCAGACTATATCACGAAATCTAGGTATGCTGCCTGGTGACGGTCCCAATCACTTCCAAAACGGCAATGCAAGTCACTCTCCTGCCAAGAGAGTGTACGATCAAAGGCTCTCACATTCTGACAATCTCTTACCTCCAAACGCATGAACATTTCCAAGTACCGACCTTCTACGGAACCATGGTGAGCTGTTTCATGTGGGGGCGGCATACCCTCAACTTAGCAAAGGAATGATTTGGAGTCGTAAACATTCCTGCAGAAATCATTTGAGATGTCATAATGTGGTCTGGGACGGCTTCCATCAAACAGTTGATTTCCAACACCAAACATCTCACAGAAAAAATGTTGTCGCGCATTTCAGAGACACTCGAAATACTTGTTTTTGCCATCTGTCGCACTTTTGCCAAAAGATCTGTCCCACCGTGTCTTGCAGTACCAGGATAGTGGCCATGCGCAGCATCACGAAACCAGTGACCGAGACAAGGGTTCAGAGGTCAGCACCTCACAATCAAATTTCTAAGCTGTCGACCAAGCCATAAGAATCCTTGAACACCCCTCGGGATATCATAGGCATTTCCCGACTGAAGCAAGCAGACCGCTTCCATGTAGCAGCGTGAAAAAAGCCATGGTTGCGGAAGGGACGTTTTCCTGTGCTCCGTTGGCGTCGTTGCATGCGCTGAAAACTATTAGTCTCACTTTAGGCCCAAAGTCCTCTCGCTTTGGGGGAGAAATCAAGAACTCCCTTCTAGAAGTCTGGCAAGGTTTTGAAAGGTTTAGGGCGCAGGGTTTAAGGTTTCGACTCTCACACTCGCACAAGGCCGGCAAGGCTTCGGTTGATCCTTGGTCGGAGGTGATACGACGTCATCGATTTCAATGGCGCGTCTGTTGCATGTGTTGGAACCCTTAACCCTCTAAGCCCTAAACCCTAATGGATCACCGGATCGCATCCATGGGGCTTAGGGTTTAAGAGCCCTGTACCTCTACGTTCCGGACACTGAACTGTCTGTCCGCTCATCCCCCTCACATGAATTCGGCCAAGGCTATGATGCACCCGACGAGCCCAATGTCCCCCTTCACCAGGAAATACCTTAAACCTCGTTTAGGGTTTAGGGTTCAGGGTTTAGGGTGAATATTACAGAAGGAGTTAAAGGCAGAATCTTTAACTGAAGAAGAGAATTGGGCTCTCTGAGAGTATCTTCAGGTCCTGCACTTGTTCGGCGTCGCTCGTCTTGACAACATCCATGCAATCAGCAGTGCGAAGAAGCCACAGAGTATGAATGGCCAGGAAATCACTCCTGACTTATGTCAAAGTAAGCCCCTCGCCGAAGGGGCTGTTCCACCGGGAATTAGTCTGAAAGAAACAGTTGATATGCTTTTGAGTGTTCCTGATCCATTTGTTGAGACCGGTTACCATTCATATTTAGGGTCTTTTAACGTTAAAAACCCTAAACAGTTGATATGCTTTTGAGCATTCCTGATCCATGTACAATTATCACCACCACTGCGTCTGTTCAACTTTACGCGCGAGGCGCTTCGTTAGTCGGAAGTCCCCTTTCAACTTTCAACTCCTAAACCCTAAACCCTAGAAGACCCTGAGCTTCCCTGAAGTCTCTGGTCCTAGTGCTGTGAAGACGACCTTGTAGAGGCCGTGGCAAGCCGCAAGGTCCGAACGCTGCCGTGCCAGCGTCAGGTTTTGAAGGCCTTTTGACAGGGTTAAGGGTTTGGGGTTAAGGGTTAAGGGTTTAGCGTGTAAGAAACCGTTGAAGGCATGGGGGTTGCGGGGTGAGGGTCTTAAGAACTGTTTGTTTTTTGCTTTTCAGAATTTGTCTTCGGCCAGGGCACACACACACACACAAAAAAAAAAAAAAACATGAAAATAACAAAACTAACAATGAAATCAAAAAAGACGACTGGGGTCCCGAACCGAGGGTGTCGATTTGGCAGAGCTCTGGTTCACCAGGAGGGTGCACCGTCCAGAAGCCAAGGCCTGACTTTAGGAAGGAGAATATACGACCATCATACACATTAGAACACTACACGTTACACTATATGTAGATATATATATATATATATACATATGTATATGTATGTATATGTATGTGTATGTATGTGCATGCATGTGTATGTATGTGTATGTGTATGAGTATGTGTATGTGTATGTGTATGTGCATGTGTATGTATATATGTAGGTATGTATGTATATGTATGTATGTATGTGTCATGTTATATTTATGTTTATTATTGAATCTTCTTCTTATATATATATATATAGAATATATATATATATATATGTGTGTGTATATATGTGTATACATATATATATATATACATATCATATGTTCGTTTGTTTATTTGTTTATTGGCATTCTCAAGTGTGAGTCCGAAGACTCCAGGACACTTTCGGCGCCCCAGCACTTCCAACCCGACTGAGCTTCAAGTGCTCATCAAGGGGCATCACCATAGATTCCCCCATGAGGTTTAGGGTTTAGGGTTTATGAGGCGTAGGGTTTAGTTTCGGGTTGAGGGTTTATGAGGTTTAGGGTTGAGGGTTTAGGGTAGTTACATGGTTCCCTTTATCATGGGCGCTTAAAAGGGGACCCCTTACCTAGAACATCCAATCGCATGGAAATTTACGTTTACCCCACTTTTGCGCGAAACGCATCAAAATCAAGCAGAACAACATCACGAACACCTTTTCACGAAACGCATGTTTTTCTTGGTTGCATGGGCGCAGCGGCTTACTGTAATGAACGAAAAATGAGGCCGCAACACACGCGCAATTTCCCGCAACACGCGCGCAATTTCCCGCAACACGCGCGCAATTCACAAATCCATGTGCTTGCTCTGCAGCAACAAATTTTTCACCCGCGAAAATTTGCGCAACGCGCATGTTTCACACAGAAAATTTTCACGCGCAGAAAAAAGTCACGCACAGAGAAAACATCTAAACGAATGGTCCAGGTTAGAGCACTTATACGGATAGACCCCTTATACACCCTAGACATTTCAAGGGCCCATACTTCAGACAACAAAGATAAGGACCATGGTAAGGGACCATGAGGGTAACCCCCTCGCCTCCCCCCCCCCCCCGGCACGGGGGGTTTAAGAAAAGGGGGAAGGGATTAGGATGAGCCTGCCAGCAGCAGCAACAGGCCGAGAATGGCCAGTGTCATCGTTGCAATCTCGGCGGCTACGGTGGGCCAGTCTGGAGAAAACGCCTGCTCCTAGGGTTTAGGGTTTAGGGTTCAGGGTTCAGGGTTTAGGTTCAGGGTTTAGGGCCTCGCGTAAGGAATACCACCAACTCACGCTGGCGCTTCAGGGCTACCAGGGTTTAGGGTTCAGGGTTTTTGCATTGCAGCAGCGAAGTTGGATGACACTGACATCTATGCACTTCAACAGTTGGGGACGCAAGGGCAAGAGTTTCCTGCCTCACCGTGGTCAGCATCTGAATCTCCAGAGCTCAATAGGCCAGCGACTTCAACCATGACCTCTCTTTAGGCCTCCGCCAAGGGGCTCCATGCCATGGGCAGATTGAGTCATCGGTTTCCCGACTTGAAAAGCCCTAATTCTGGGGGGAGCTAGGGGATGGGGGGGGAGGGGGGGTAGTAGGGGAACCACCCTAAACCCTAAACCCTAAACCCTAAACCCTAAACCCTAAACCCTAAACCCCCATGGTTTGAGGCACCTCTTCTTGAAGGCGCGTTCTGGCGGTCCAGAGCCCTTCTACCCGCAATGAGCCAGATGCTTCAGAAAGGTAGGGCCTTGGTCGAGCAACATCTAGGGTTTAGGGAAATGGGGTGTTTAGGGTTTAGCGTTTAGGGTTTGGGGTTTGGGGTTTGGGGTTTGGGGTTTAGGGTTTAGGGTTTAGGGTTTAGGGTTTAGGGTTTAGGGTTTAGGGTTTAGGGTTTAGGGTTTAGGGTTTAGGGTTTAGGGTTTAGGGAGAACACTACTACGACAGATTGGCAAAAAAAAGAAATATCTAGAACAAGAAGACCATTGAAAGAGGTTTGGCCTGTTTTGGCTTTGCTTCTAAGCCTCAAAGTTGGAGCGATATGGTCAGTTCTCAAATGGCCCCTTTTTGAATAGCCTAAATATTAGGGGGCGCTTTACAATAGTTTTCGTAATTTAGAGAAGCGACCATATATATCACACACACACACACACACACATATATATATATATATATATAATCCTATTTGCACCAAAACCCCCTGAGGAAAACAAACTTCAAACCCCCAAGCACTGAGCCACCGGCCCTGCCACACCTTCACTCCTAAGCACCAAACCCTAATATGGGGGTTTCCGAAAGTCCCTCTTATAAGGGAATAGGGTTTAGGGTTTAGGGTTTAGGGTTTAGGGATCCCATTATTTGGGGACTCTAAATTAGGGGACCCCCATATGGCCATAGCCTCAGCCCCACTGCCAATACACTGCCTGTGACTTTCTTCCCCCGCAAGACTTTGCTACCCCTGCAGGAACCTCAGCACGGTCAAGCTCTAACAGTCGGCTCAGGGAATATGGCGGGTGTACGAAAAATATCGGGGGGCCCCTATAATAGTCCCCAGATTATCACAAGGGCCCGAAGAAGGTGACCCTAGTCTCGGAAAATGGCTGCGTCGGGGGGATCGCCGTGCTAACCTCCCCTCAACCCTAAACCCTAAACCCTAAACCCTAACCCCTAAAACCCCAACCCTTCTTCCCTAAACCCTAGCCCTAACCTCTTACGTCACCTCCCACCTCCCTGCCTCGCCCTCTCAGCTTGCCAACGGGCCCGATCACGCCAGGGCAAACATCGCAAGGCACCCGCAGCCCGCGGAATGTGGAGGATGATTCAAGACTTTCACAATAACATTATGTTAACAACAGAAATTATATAATAGCAATATACTAATCGTACAATCATGACCTGCATTGGTAATAGGGTAGTACAATAATGTGGTCGCTGGCTCCGAAAAGGCTTGAGGAGCCGAAACAGAATCCTCACGGGCCTTTTGGGAGATTACTGCGCTTCTACTGTCGTGCTGTCCTTGTGATTCGCCGATTGCGCAGCAAGCTAAGAAAACCCGTCATGAGAAGTGTTCGACAGTTAGTAGCAGCATGAAGCCCCAACTACACTACTGACCAAGCTCTAGCAGAGCAGCGGCTATTGAACTATTGTGACCGAAGATGCGTACGAAGCCGCATGGCAGAAGACGGGGAGAAAGCTAGAGAGAGAGAGACAGAGAGAGAGAGAGAGAGAGAGAGACAGAGAGAGACAGAGAGAGCGCGGAAGTCAGAGAAACAGAGCGTGGAAGTGAGAGACAGTGAGTGAGCAGTGAGCGTGTGAGTCTTTTCCTGTCGACCGCCAGCCTCTGACGGTCTGACGGCTCTCAAAAGGGAGCAAGCATCGCACGTCCCAAGCATACGGAGTGGATGCCGCAAGTGCCGCAGTTGCAGACGTCTCACGGTGATGTGCAAGAGAGCACGAGAGGCTCATCCTGTGCGGGGCTCCTGCAAAGATTCGCATCGCGCATCGAGCCGGAGACCAGAAGGCAGCAGAGGGGGGATGCGACAGGGGAGGGGGCGCCCCTAAATGCCAAGTCTCGAAGGCCGCGCTCGCCGCGCTCGCCCTGAACATGCACAGAGCGCCGTGAGCGCTGAGTCCACTGGCCCCTGCATGCTCTGTTTGGAAGTTATGGTCAAGGACTTACATGCACAGGGCTTTTGTATTGGATCAGCTTGCGCAGCCCGTCGCTGGTGAAGTGGCTCAGTATAGCCGTGTTTCATGGCCCGCGGCCGGCTTGCCTAAAGGTTTTCCAGTTGCCAGGATGCAGATCATCGGTGCTCCGTCGGTAAGTAGTGCCATGATAAGAGAGAAAACTATGGTTTCCTGGAATTCCTAATTCTTTCACTTTTTCAAAACAAGTGGAAGTGCGAGCGTCGCGAGCAAATTTTGCTTGAGTCTTTTAGGGGTGGGGGGTACCACCCACTCCCCCGCCCTTGCGTTTGTTTCTCCAGCTCCACACAAGGACTAAAGATACTAAAGGTTGGGATGTCACCCCATCCCCACGACGAACAGCCTCAGTGCGTTGAACAGCGGAGGCGCTGAAACCTCGTCATTGCTACCCATAGTCTCCATATCGCCGGCCACAGCGGCGGAGCAAAGGAAGGCTTCGTGACAGCCCCGGTACAGAACATTGAAGACACTGGAAAGGCTGGACAGGGCAAACCCCCTACTGTTGGCATCTGCAACCTTCAACATCGCGGAAAGGCCCTTGATGGCCTTTGTTTCCTCAGGAGTGCCCGAGCGACAAATTGCCCGAGGTTCAGAGGTTCCATCAGCAACCCCTTGAAAGGCCCTTCATGTGCCGGGGCTCTGGCGCACAAAAGGCCCGTCTGTCGAGGGGCGCACGGCACCAGAAAACTGCGCTGTCAAGGTGCGTCATCGGCGGGGAATACAAGATTTGCTCGGCTTGCTGCTTACGTGTGTTTCCGGCAATTAAGCTTCTGGGCTGTATGCATGTTTCAAGTCCTGAGACTTTACCAAAAAGAGATCGATGGATCTGCAGCCATGGGCTATGCCGGCGCTGATCAAGAAGGCGGACGCGAGGAGCCAACGGCTCTCCTGGTGAGGAGGTCCTGCGAGGGGCACCACTGGAACATCAGCCTCCCACCTTGCCGAGCGTGCCGCCCGCGCATGGAAGCCAAGTTTTTACCTGGCTGGGACTCGACTTCGAGGTGCTGGGTTGTAATTGTAGTAGTTTCTGTTTTTTCGGCGTCTCCTCGGCGTCCCCTCCTTCCCCCACTGAGAGGTCATCCGATGTTCGGAGTAGTGGGCGTGGTCGGGTTGTCGGGTTCTTTTTGTGCTTCACTCCCGCACACCGGGCACATTAGCGAGATAGCCGTGCTGTCCTTAAGGGGGTTTTGCATCACTCCGGCCGACGCCTTGTGCAGGTCTGCTCGGGCCCACAAGCTTGCGCCAGCTTTCGTCGAGCTCGGTTGGGGGGGCTGTTTGTCCACGGGCCCCAAGGGACACGGTTTTCTCCCTCAACAGAATCGTCGTCCTGCATGGGAGAAGTTGAAGTGGAGCTAATTTGCGAACATTGCTGCTGAAGGTTCAGCATTCATTGTCTGCTTAAACCTGCAGCGACGGCCTACGTGAGCTGGTGCAACACTGCCAAGGTCTCCTCATCTGGGACTCAAGGGCAAAGACAGTAGCAAGGCTGGAGAGAGCAAACGCCCTCTGTTGGCATCTGCAACCTTCACCATCGCGGAAAGGCCTTTGTTTCCTTAGGAGTGCCCGGGCGACACATTGCCCGAGGCTCAGAGGTTCCACCAGCAACCCCGCAAGCCCTTCATGTGACGGGGTTTCGGCACACAAAGGCCTCTGTCGAGAGGTGCACGGCGCACGGCACCAGAAAACAGCACTGTCAAGGTGCGTAATCGGTGGGGACGGGGAATACAAGATTTCGGCTTGCTGCTTGCGTGTGCTTCGGGCGTTTAAGTTTCTGGGCTGCAAACGTTCAAAGCCCGAGACTTTGCCAAAAACAGACATGGATCTGCAGTCGGGTCAAGAAGGCGGCCGCGTCTCAGGGTTTCGGGTTTAGGGACCCGTAATTAGGCTGGTGGGGGCGGGCTCAACAGCGATTTCAGGCGTGACGCCGCCGCACCTTCGAGACTCCCTTCCCCAAGAACCCCCAACACAATTCCAAATCATATTGAACCGACGCCTCTCCTGGTGGGCACCGGCACTTCTGTGCAACAGCATAGCCTTGGAAAGGCCTCTGAAGACTCATGCCCACATAATGGCATGATCTCAAAAATTGCTCAGCGCTTCCACCAGGGCACAGCACAATTTTGTGACGACTTCCGTCTGTCGGCACGACTTCACATCTACCCAGTGTCACCCCGGCCCGGCGGCCAAAGGCTGCGCTGCGTTGACGTCGGCTGCATCTAGGCCATACACTGTGGCGGTGAGCAAAAAACCCACTCACTGCTGCCCAGGGCCTCCACATCGCCGGCCACAGCGGAGCAAAGCATGGTGGACACATCCTCCTTCCAGAAACTGGCGGAGCTGCCAGCGCCGGGCACGTCAACCCATGAGAGCGAAACCCCCCGCTGATCCCGCTGGCGGCCCTTTGATGCAGGCCGCGCCCCAGCAACGTGCTTCTGGATTGCATCCTTCTTGCTGCGAGAAACGAGGCCCATGCACAGATCTTCGACATGTTCTTCATGTCTCAGCACTCCAGGAGTGGTATCTTGACTAGTTCAGGGCAGAGGAGTTTTTTCGAAGCCAGCCCGAAGCCCCCAGTACGAAATAGGGGGCCCTCTCTGAATGTTCATGGGCACTTTAAGATGGAGGCTTAAGGGTTATAGAGGGTCTCGGAGAAATTGCCAAGAGGCAACAAGCACCTGAAGAGAGTGCTCTGCCAGGAATCTCAAGGGCATGGAAGCTCACTTCTAGCGGGAGATAGCCCCAACACGACCGCTGTCACAGTCATGCTAG